AAGTATCATACTAGTTTAGAAAACGCTGATCCTGTTGCATACCACAGAGAAAGGGGGCGGAGCTGGCGGGTACTGCTTGCTATGGTGACCACCAACCAGAACCGAACTGGTATCAGTAAAAATCAGGAGAAAATATCTTCTGACTGAACAAAAGAATTTGAAGAATAAGTGAACAATAAGTAAAGAGATTTGGATAAATTTCCATCTTTAATATTAGAAATAAATTCTCACAGAAATTCGATGAAAGTTCTGTTGTCGTTCTCAGTCATCATCTTCCTCTTTTGTCAGGGCCTTCGCTGTCACTGCACATAAGGTCCAGAAGGGAATCCGAGTTTTCAACAAGCTGTTCTCCGAGCGAGCCGAGAGCCTCTGGCAGCACGTCATCGACCTCAACGCCATCGCCGACGGCCTGGACAAATTCAACAAGAAGACAAAGATCGCACAGATCACCGGCGGCTCCACCAGCGCCATCGGGGGCGTCGCCACCATCACCGGCCTCGCCCTGGCTCCGGTCACCATGGGGACCTCTCTGATTGTCACGGCCGTCGGATTAGGTGTCGCCACGGCCGGTGGGTTGACCTCGGCCGGGGCCGGCATCTCCAACCAGGTCAACAACTCTTTGGACCGCAAGAAGGTGGAGAAGATCGTGGAGGACTACCAGGAAAAGATCGGCGACCTCAATAAGTGCCTGAAGTTCATCAAGCAGGGAATAGAGAACCTGCGCAAGTTCGACCTGATCAAGATGAAGAAAAGCGCGTACAACCAGGACTTCCCCGCGCTCACCAGCCAGTTCTACGAGGACGGCGCCATGGCGGGGAAGGCCATCCTCATCAATGCCAACGAGATCATGCGCGTGGTGCAGATCGCCAACGTGGCGGGCAGCACGGCCGCCAGGGCGGTGCAGATCGCCAGCATGGCCACTGGCGTCCTCACGGGGCTCTTTGTCGGTATGGACATCTACTTTGTAGCTAAAGACTCTAAGGAGCTGAAGAAAGGGGCAAAATCAGAGTTTGCAGCCAAAATCAGGGAGGTGGCCACACAGCTGCACGACGGGCTGGTGGAGCTGAACACCATCCGGGAGGAGCTGCACAGCACCACACCAGAAGGCAACGCAGGCGGCAAAGAGGGCAAGGGCAAAGAGAAAGAGACAAGGGAGAAACATGATGAGACCGGATTAAAAAAGCTATAAAAAAGGACCTTGAGAACCGGGAATACGTCTGACTCCAGCAGGTTGTTATTGGGTGCTGCTTGTAAATGTTGCAGTAAGAAATTAATAACAATATTTTTGGTTTATTGAGCCTGTCATAGAGGAAACAAATCAGGGATTCAAAGTCATAATCCTGTAAAAATCCATTTTTTTCTGTGTGACAGACTAAATAAGCCAAAATATTGCTGTTAATTTTTATACTATGTAACTTTATAATCCGCTCCCCGTAGCAGACTGCGTTAAACGTTAAAGTTTCAACAGGACTCTTTAAACTTTACCCATTTAAAACTTCCTGCTGCTGTTTCCTTTCCGACTTTCACATTAAAACTGACTCGTTCGATCAAAACACTACATCAGTAGGAGACCAACCTGAAACTGCATTTTATTTTTCACCTCAATCTGGGATTTTTACGTTACAAGATGATGGCTGCCTTTTTTTAAAACTGTAAGTCAATGGGTGTAATTTTTATACTATCAGTAGTGAAATTATGTTTCATAGAAACTGGTGGATATGAATCTGAATTGATGAAAAATAGTTTCAGGCTTGCTAGTTGAAGATTTTGAATAATCTTCAACATTTTGCTGGGTTTTGCAACATCTAAATCTGCCTCCTTATTTCATTGGTTTTTAATTACATTTTAGGGTCAAAACCGTTAACAGATGAGGTCATATGTTGTTTCTTCACCAACAAATTCAGGATAAAGAAGTCAAAAACTTAACTGCTAATCATTTAATACAGATTATCGTTTTATTTTAACGCACTTTGTTAAAATATGAATCAGAGTTTAGAATTTTTACACCATTTATTTAGTTTAGTTCATGTTCTTAGCCTCTTCTTGTTCTCTGTTGTCATTTAACGAGGATAAATCTATAAACGTTTTTATCTCAGCAAAATCTTATTGATCCAGACTTTTTTATGAAAAGCTAGCCGGTAAATTTCACCCTGAATGATTATAAATGTCACTGGTTTCCATCATTGGATTCAAACCTGTGAGGTTTTTTAAAATTATAAATCCATCTTATTGAATTGTTTAATATCACTTAGCTGGTACATTTAACTGAGCTAATTTAACAGACAATAGTATATCCACTATGCGAGGTATAGAAATCATGATATTTTCCTCTAATTATGCTGTTACTTAAGAGTAAAATGTCTTCTGGTGTCAGCTGCTCTGTTGTCTGTTGGAAGCAAATGTTTATTTATTGGTCTTCTTTGTTCTGTAAAGGCTGTTTTAGAAATACTTCTACGTGCAATAAACTGGCAATGTGAGTTTAAACACAATTTTATTATAAAATGAACAACTGGCAGCGCCACGACTGTACATTTTACAGGTTTTGCTATTGAACAAGCACTTTGATGCCTCATCTAGTTTAAGTCAGTCAGAAAAAGTGTATTAAGGGTTTTTTGAGTTTTTCTTTTTTTTTAAATTAATTACAGTAATTAAGCTGATCCTTGATCAGATACTGTGTGGCCCAAACCGAATGTCAATAATCTCTCGTCCAAAATTAGCTGCCTTATCGTCTGTTTTATAAAGATGTCTGCGAGGGAAGAAGTGCATGCAAAGTCCAAGATTTTTTTATTATTTACAGAAATTACAGCACATGCATGTATTTTAATTTATGCAGTGGTTCAAGCTTTTTTGGGACTCTAAACATATTTTCATTTGGAACCTCCCTGACCAACATGTCAACACCAGATGCTTCATCAATCTTAAGCTACTTTAGTTGTGTGTAGCGTAACATGCTAGCATTAGCATCTTTAGCTCACATCACACCATTGTGATTGGTGTGATGCAAACACACCATTATACTATAGGTCTTCCATCTGTGTTTTATTTTTTAAATCTGTTGAACAAATTTTCCCTTTTCCAGCTGAGTGTTTTTGAAACCTGTGTTCAACATTTGTTTATCAGTTGGGATTTCCAAACAGTCATCAAAACTGGTTTTGTAAAAGATGAAGGAGGCTTAAAATATTCCCTCCACCTGATTACTGTAATAGTTTTGTGAATTATAAACTAAATATTAAGATAAACTAGATCTTCTGTCAAGAAGAGTGACTACATTGAACTTGATGTCACATTATGACGTCTCTTTGCATGTTGCTGACAGGCATTTACCCAAATACCAGTGTTTTTTTTCTATTGCACACTGTAGAAAGAGTAACTAAAATTTCAACATTTATGCGAGTGATAAACTTCTCACAGCAACTATATGCTACTCAGATGAAGCTACACTTTAACTTTTTTAGCACAATGTGTTCGAATACAACATATTTTGCCTTCTAATTCTCTTTTTATCTTGGTAAAAATAAACTACATTTACAAACTTTCGCTGCATGTTTTTAATTAATTTTGTTGGACTCAACATGTGACAACAAACTCAGTAACCCATGTGTAGAGAAGCTGAAGCTGATGGTGAAACAAGATTTTCAGCTACATGATCTGTGAATTCCTCATGTGATATTCAATGCACGCTGGTTATCGAGCATTTCAACTCCAACTTCTGCCTCTCTACCCCGCATCCTTTTCTAACTTTAGAAAATCACTATTGACATGCAAAAATCATGACTGTTGTGAAACTTGTGAGTTGCATGCAGACACGTAGCCACCAAACCTGACCACACCCCTTGTCCCAGGTGAGTTCACAGCCAGAAACCAGAGGAGGCAAAGGTTCTCCAATCATCTTTTCATCCCAAAGAAGGTGAGAAACTTGAAACACTGATGCGTTTGCTCAGTGGTCTCTTTTTGCTGGTCAGGAAGTGTTTTCTCATGCAACAAGAAGTTTCACCAAGATAATTTTGTAGCAGAGAAGCTCTGTGGGTGTGTTTGAGTTTGTTTAGAGATGCTTTGCTCCACAGGTGAAGTCACCTTTGGTGGTGTCGGAATCTGCGGATTACCAGACGTGGAGATGAACACAGCTTAGCAAACATGAGGACATGGGATGGACAGGCAGCACACATGAATAGACTAGCTGCATCATTGTTTCACTGACAGAGACATTTGTGATGACAAATTTTAGACATGTACACACAACATCCGCACTGAACTATTATTTACATTATTTAGTGTCACTCCTAGCACTAAAAGAACTAGTAAATTCATAGCTTGTAACTTATATTTGATAGAAAATAATACACATATAAATACTTTTGTAGAAAAATTCAAACAGCACAAAATAACCATTATTTATAAAAATGTATATTTATAAGCACTTCCACAGCATTTAACGCAACCTAAAAACATGCATAAAAAGGATATACAAATTAATGTAAACAAATAGCTTTTTATTGAATAAAATTAAAAATTAAAGGAAAAATACAACATTAAAAAGTCAACCACTTCAAATCCAAGATGAAATTGACAAAATATAAACACTGAAGTTTTTTTCCTATAAACTGAGAACATTAATAAATAAGAACAAAATCTGTTTTTTTAAATAGTTTATTATATAAAGGAAGTAAAATGACAAAAATTAAATGTTCAAACTTTATGATCTGCATACATGAGGTTTATAAATAAATATATACATATTATGTTTCCTAACCTGCATAGCAAAAAGAAATAAAAAATAACTCTGATATCAATGTCCATCTGCTGAACTACTCGTTAAAATCCCTTGAACATTAATAAGTGGAATAAATACATAAACATTTGAATGATTTGTCAAGTAAGTGTTGTTTCCGTGTTTTTCGGACGGCTCCTGAACGCATCTTGAGTGCAGATGCTGCAGAGCGGGGAGTGGCGAAGTTTTAAAACTGCTGGGAGTCTGATGACGGTGAAGGAGCCTCCCGTTTGTTTGTTTTTTTTTGTTTTTTTTATACATCAATCACTGTTGAAACTCTGAGGAGAGGATCGCAGAGGGATCTCTGAAGGATCTCCGGTAGGTTCAAGCTGATAGGCCTCACTTAACTTCGGTTGGTTTCATCCGTTGATGGTTTTAAACGTCAATTTCGTCCATCGACGATCTTTGTGGAGCTTCTAAGTTTGCGCGAGCGCTTTAGCTAAAATGTACCAACGGCTATTTTCAGATTTCAGTTCAACACGATAAAAAGGATACATAGCTGCAGACAGTTAAATGGGTTTATTGTTTAAATTTACGAACATATGTCAGAGATGTCACTGTCAAAGTGAAATACAGTGGTGATTGTACAGAAAGTGTGGGATGAAATTCTGTTTAATTATGACAGTCGGGTGAATTTTTAGCTTCATTCATCCTGGTTTTTGATTTATGAATTCATTTCTGCTAATGTACGAAGACAACTTATCAGGAGATTAAAACTGTTTCCTCACTCGCTCCTTTCCATTCTTCAACTTTTGTTCCTGATGTATAGATTTTCAGTTGCTCTTCAGATGTGTATCTTTAGATATCTACATGTTTTCATAGGGTATATTTATTTATGAAGTATTACTACTCTCGAGTGCAATTTCTGGTCACTGAATCACGAATAAGAACGTCTTAACCAGAAATGCACCAGACACAAACGCACATCTACAATTTATGTTGAAGTGAGACCTCCTGTTTGAACACAATCTGTGTTCTAACGTTATCTTCTATCTGTTCCTTCTGGTGTATCATTTTGGAAATTATATATATATATATATAAATTTTTTAAAGATTTTTTTTCATTTTTCATCTGCCTTTTCTTCCTCATTTTCTTTCTTGTATAATTATTTTTTTGTCCTACATTCATTATGATCTTGAGCTTCTTTCTTTATTTTCATCTTTTTATTGATTCTCATTTTCTGTAACTTTCTGCTCACTGAATAAATATCAAGTATAAATTGAATACTTGTATTTTATAAAGTGTGAAAAAAATAATCAAAATTTAAAAATTTTAAGTCTGAAGATTTATTCTTTCTTTATTGTTTTAGCCAAAAAAAAGGTATTTTTTTTCTTCAATTCAAATTCAGTTCGATAATATTTAATTAATCCCAAAGGGAGATTAAATGTTGTTTTAACTCATGTCATCTAAGGTTCTTTGGAGGATCTACTGCAGCAGTCTGTGTTACAGTGGATCTGAAGAGGCCTCTGACTGTAGACACTCTGTTGGAAAGCAGTTTAAGGAAGAGGATGCTCAGGAATGTCGATAATTGTCTTGATTTTTGTTCTCCTTTGGCCTGTTGTCTCCAGAGGATTAGAAGATTTGAGTTTTGTTTAAGTTAGTTGTGGAATCTAGTGGAAACTGAATCTGTCCACATTTTGCTCAAAATTTTAGCTGGTAGAAAAGCTGATAAAAAAACAAAACTTTAAGCCAGTAATTAAAGTTCTTTTCAGTTCATTTTTATGTCTTGCAGTAATGCATGAAATGAAAGTTTAATGATTATTCAAATTAGAATAAAAATGACCAGTGTTTTCCTGATGATAATGATGTTAATCCAAGTTTATTAGGTTATTCAGCGACCTCTGAATACATTAGCGAATGTATTCAGAGGTCGCTGGTTTCTTAACTTTTATATTCTTCTCTTTATATGAATAATTCTCACTCACAAACCCAAAAGCTTCCTGCTGAACTGTCTTTGTGTTGCTCCTGCAGGCAGGATGGAGGCCTGCATGATGAAGCCAGAGGTCAAAAAGAAGCCGAAACCGGTGAGGAAACCTGCAAACAAAAACATGATCAGTTTATATTTATACAACATAAAAATGACTTCAACCGAGGTTATGATAGTTAAAAACAAACAAAATAACCGAAACGTTTTTATTAACTGAAATGAATAAAAGTGGCAATAAATAGGGAAAAACTATAATTAACTGTAACTATGTTGTGTATTTATACAACTTACTAAAACATACTCGAATTGCAGATATATGATCCTTCATTTATGTGTTTATAAATCTATTTATCAACCTTTTGAACTAATGTGACACAACTAGATTATGTTAGATGTTGGAAAATTGCAACGCTCTGTAATTCTGCTGGCGACGCTTATGCTAGTCTGCAAAAACAGCAAAAACGCCAGAATTATTTGTTGTTCAACAACAATGAAATAAATTTTTTGAAATGTGTGTGTTTTGGTGAGTATTCACCAACCAACAATTGTAAACATGATGACAAAACTTTGACCTGTTTGAGATCTGCACCCATAAATTAACCAAAGTATGAAAAAACTAAAACTACTACTAAAACTAATTACAACTAAACAATATTTAGCTGATAATAATACTAAAAACTAGCAAACACTCTAAAAAGAGACAAAAGTTACAACAAAATCAAACTAAACTGTAATGAGAAATTATCAAAACCCTGCTTCCAACATCATGATGTAATAAAAATGTTAATCTGAGCTCTGCTTCTAATAGTATTTTTTAGATTTACCATATATTTTCAGCAAATTGATTAGTATAAGCAGCCAAAAAAATAATTTTTTGGAATAAAGAAAAATAATTTTTCAAAAAATAAGTTTAATAAATTATTGTAAGCTTGTTCTTTACAATAAGTGTTTGTTTTTATTGCTTTCCACAATGTGAATTATAAACAATGATTTGCACATAAAAGCATGAAATACATGCATAAAATGAAACCTTAGCTAGTACGTAAAATATCAATTATAAACAAACTCTAATCTGTTGGTAAATAATTTAAGAAAAAAATTGTTTTAAATATTTGCATGTCTATATTAAAATAAATGATTCCATTTTCTGTTTTATTGACAGTTTTTACTGTTTTTAATGTTTGCTGAACCTTCAAGTGGAATAGTATGTCTCTGCTGGCAGCTTGGTGGCTTATGGCAACTAATAAAGTGTCACATTTCAGAGCAGTGATGAAATATCTCACATATCAAACTTCCTGAACATGCCTCATGTGAGAGTGAGACAAACAAATCCTCAAACTGAACCGACAGGTTTCTGGGATGTTCTGCATTCCCAGAGCCATGCATGTTTCTGCATGAACCTTTACAACATCAACGCCATTTCCTTTTATTTGTTCCTCTGATATACAAAGTTCACCCTTATTTTAAATGTGTATCTGTAGCTGGCTTTTCATTTTATTCACTCAATAATAAATGAATAGTTCATGGAATAAATAAAAGTATAATGAATGGAAAAGGGCAGAAAGAAGTATGAACATATAGCTGACCTATATTCACATAAAAAGAAAAAAGCTGTTCAGCTCAGAAGACAATTAAATGTATTTAAAATAGAAAATAACAAAAAATGCAAAATAAAACACCAGTTTATCCAGTGCTGTATTGCTTCATCATAATTTTTTTTTTAAATGCAGAAAGATATTTAGATTCACTAACATCTTCAATTTAAATTAATTTTTCCACCATTTTCCTTCTGAATTTTTTTTTTCTTTTCAGCTGCATGAGCTTCATACAAGCAATATGAACATTGCTTGGTAAAAATATTAGATGCCCTTACAATGTTGTACATTATGAATTGATAAACTTATATAAATATATTGGGTTATGACTCTTTGTTTCGCGATAGAGGGCTGGGATCTGAGAATATTTGAAATCAAACCGACACAACTCATTCAGTGATTTTTTTGTTTCCTCCAGCCTAAACCTCCTCCAAAGCCCTCAGAGGTAGAGCAATAAACTCAAGTCTTCCATTAACCTGTAATAATGAAAGAGCTTCTATAAATGGGCTTTATAATAAATCCCAGGATGTTAAAAACTTTGTTTTCAGGTCAAAAGAAACGAGGCAGAGAGAGACGTGAAGCCAGCTCCTCTGATGCCTCCTCGACCCAAAGATGCTGTGAGTTCAAAGTTTTACTAAAAGCTACAAAACACTTACATATGCTTGTTTCAATTTTAATTCTGCTTTATTAGAGTTTGTTAAAATCTGTAAACATGTGATTCAGTGACCGGCGTTGGAGCTTAAGTTGAATCTAAAACTAATCAAGCCTAAAGGAGGGTTTATGAACTCACCTGTAAAATCCATTGCTTATTCAGAAAAAGAACATTAACTTTAACAAGACATGCTTTATTTTTTTGTTACATCCTGATTTTAGTTTTTATGCAAAAGAGCAGTGAACTCAACCTACGCATCTGGACAAAGCATCCTATGCAAAATTAAACTCCACTTTTAGAGCTGACAAATCTTTATATTTCATCACAATTTATCGTATGAGAATAATAGTTAACTCACAATTATTCTCATAGACATTACACATTTTTCCCCCTTTTTACATATTTTTAACAATAAAAACAGGAAGTTTTCAATGTAGATTATTCAAAAAAGCATGTCAGAAGTCTTACAATAATCCACTTCCTGATGACAACGTGACAGTACCAAGTTATGCTTTGTTCATTAAGGGAAAATGCTACATAAACCAAGCTGTCCCTGTGTGAAAACATAATCCTTCTGCCTTGCAAGTTGACGCAATTTGCTTTTTGTAATTTGTGTTTTTAACAGCCAACAGAGTTCAGATCCACTGGTGACAAAAGTGACATTATCTAGATTTTTTTCATAAATATTGAAGTATTTTCTTTTATTTCTTTATTTTTAAATTAATTATTGAACGCTTTCTATAAAAATGTAATTTCTTACAAAATAATGACCATTTAGTGGATTAGGTTTGTAAACAGTGTGTTTAAAAGAACAAAATAAGGTGTTATTTAGTTTAAAGATGCTTAACAGTAGAATTAAAGTTAGAATGTTTAAAAATCTCCAACTGGGATTATTAATTGACCTATTAGTTATTTTTTCTCTGCAGGAGCTGACTCACACAGAATACAGAATAAAAAAAGCAGCAGCCTCAAACAGCGAGGTATTTATAACTTTTAAAATAAAATATTTCAAGAAATTTTATGTGAAGAGAAAATTGTGTTAAAACTGTGAGACGCACTGATATAGTCTAAAAAATATCTTATATTTATGTATTTCATTGAGTTTAATTCTGGGTATGTATATTCATGTAAAACAATTTGAGTGCTGCTAAATATTTTGATATTTATTATCAGTTCAAATAGTTACAAAAATATGGGTATAAATTTAATCTCATTTGAATAAAATGCGCTTTATGAGAACGTTATTTCTGGTCATTTTGAAGGAAGTTTTCCTGTTTAAAACTCAGGCGTTTACAATGTTTTGCACCCCTGAGAGTCAAAGTGAAAGTGAAGACTCCTAAAACCCACCAGTTACTCTTTCATCACAGTGTGCAAGGAGAAAGGACTTGTCTCAAACAAAGATCGACTTCTCATCTTAAAAGAAATGAGAATTTCATTGTTTAGACAGCAGAACAGACAAGATGTTTGGTGCAAATCAGATACAGAGTTCCTGGGAAAAAAAGCTCATGGAGGTAGAAATGTCTTGGCCTGGATTTGCTTTGCTGCAACAGAATTTATGATGCTTCTCAAATCAGCATCATAAAATTCACCATGCACACACTGTCTGCAAATCCTTATAAAGTCTTTTATTTGGCATTAAAATGTCTTTAAAGAAGTAAGCTGGTCTTAAATTTAGTCTTTGTAGGACTGTTTAACTGTATAAACTATACACTTCTTTTTCTAGTGGGACTTTTCTATCAGGCATAAGGTTGAATCACATGTAAACGTCCTCATTGCGTTCTGTAACTCACTGCTAACATGCTGTTGCTAGCTGGCTAACTAGCTTGTTTTTGCCAGGTGGCTGGACCAAATTCATGCATTTCTTTGGAGATTTAGTTCTTATTTATTCATAATGCTCTTTAAAAGGTCTTTAAAAGTCTTAAATGTGTTTTGGGAAAACCTGCAGAAACTCTGTCTTCAGTTGGAAAACAGATTTTTGTTTATATCTTTGATTTAAGAAAAAGTTAAGTCAAAAGAAATTTACCTGCTTCACGTCACTTTTCAGGCATAACTAAACAGATTACATGTCAATATTCTGTTATTAACTAAGTGAATATTTAATGGACTGTCCTGATTTCTTTCATGACTGTATAGTCTTGCTATAATAATAATATTAATCTTGAACAATATCCAGAAGATTCTTATTTTTTTTTTTTTTAAAAATATATTTTATTAGCTGAATGGCAGCATCCAGCAACAATATACCAAACTAAAACCGTCTGAAACTGCTGCTGCTTCGCAGAGACTCGCAGGAAAGGTATAAAACAGTCAGTTCATTCTTAAAAAACAGCTTCACAACTTCAGATTTAGACTTATTCCTATTTTTATTCTTATTTACATGTGATTCAGCAGTTTGGTGAAGGAGCTTCTTAAAGTTTCACATATCTTCCATCTTTTATTTACTCTTCTTATTTGGGCAGGAACCAAAAGCAACAACGAGACCCGGTGAACCCAGAAAGGTATGAATTTACCGAACAGAGGCGCATTCATATCAAATCCTGACTTGTTTATTTAATAACGTTTTAAATAAAATGTCTTCTTCTTTCCCACCAGACTTCCAGACAAACTGACCAAACAGAAGCTGCTGCAGATGATATGGATTTCAAGCGGGTATTTACCTGCAGCTTCAAAGCGCCAGCTCCCAGCTGTCTTACAAACAGCATTCATAATGTCTTCTTCTGTGCTTTTTTTTGGTAGAGCAATAAGTGGGAATGTTTCGACGCAGCCAAAAAGAAAACGCCAACATTTACAGTAAGCACATGTTGCTTACTGTAAACAACATTTACAGTAAGCAACATTTGCTTACTGGAAATTCACAAAATTTCCTGTTTGTGAAAAAGAGGGCACTGATTTATATAAGCATTATGTTTTGTGAAAGATTGTGTAGTTGAAAGCACTAAAATTAACTTTTAAGATATGAAAATAAAAGAAATCTGCTCAATAGTACACATGCAAGATTTTAAGCAACAAAGAAGTCCTTCTTTTGTTTTAGAAAATTAATTTTGTTTATACAAGATGATAGTAAGTGTATTGCACAATTGCATTGTTAAAAGACAGGCATGTACTTTCCACATTTAGAGGTTTAGAGGTAAATTGTTCTTCTTTTTAGGGTAAGTAGGCCAGCTCTTTCTTTATTGGGCCAAGGATAATTGGTGGCAATTAAGGTACAATAAATCTGAGTGGAAAAGCAGAAACCTGGATTGTGTTTGAAAATCTCTTTCAAATAATTATAATAGAAAGTGTCTATCTGGGTCTTTGCTGTCAGGCAATAATTACTCATATTTTTAATTTATGGTCAGGGATCAAAAACAAACCTTCAAACGACTGCAAGCCTCGTTTTGGACACCCTGGTTTTAGGATAACCCTTTTCCTGGCATTTAGGCTTTTTTGTACTTCTTTAACACATCTTTTAAACTTTATTGATTCTTGCAAAGTATTTATTTATTTTTTGGTTTGGAGACTATTTTACTCAATTTTATGTGGAAAAAGCATCTGAACTCTAAATAAAAACACTCATGACCAGTGGTGATTTTTGCATGAATGTTGCCCTGGGCAGGCCCCGCCTTCTGCTGCCTCCTAACCAATCAAAATGCAGGAAACCTTTCAAATTCTGGGTCAGATCAAAATGTTGTTCAAACCTGCACAAAACATGTATAATAACCTCCATAATCCCAGCCCACACATTACTAACTTCACGCATTTAAAAGGTTTTCAAGACTGACAAATAAATATACTTTAGAAAAAAGGTTTTATCCCTCCACCTGTTTTAGTGCCGCCCTGGGCAACAGCCCAAACCAAAAATCGCTACTGCTGATGACTGGGATCTGCTCCAGGGAGACAATAGCAAAGAGAAACACAATGCAGAACACAAACCGGTACAGTCCAACACAAACCAGTTCTGCTTCCACTCTTTCAAAGTCTTCATGTCATATTGATGACAAGTTTTAAAAAACACGACTGGAAAGAGATATAGATCCCACTTCTTCCTTTTTTTATAGAACACAAATATTGATATTATCCTCAAATTACCTTGTGTGGAAACATTAAATATAACTGTTTTTTATTCTCTGTGTTATCAGGAGAACGGAGGTCTCCTCGCTGAAATGTTTTGCAAAACACCCAAGGAGAAATCATCCTCTCCTGCCCTGAAGGTAAAATCATGAATGCCAAAATATAGCCTTATTATGAAGTCGTTTATTTAAACCTTTCACTGTAAAGTCTATTTCTTTAAGTTTAAGAATATGCATCACATCATAAGTGATGTAAAAAGTTACATTGTTTCAGTTTTGTTTCTCCTTCTTATAAGCTGTTTTCACTTCTATTCATTCTCAGGTCAGTAAAGCAGAAAGTGATTCTGAAGATGTGGAGAAAGAAGAAAAGAAAACATGTGAACCAACCCACGTAAGCACAGGTTCAATAACTGAGGCAGTATGTTTCATCAAGCATTTTATCACTTCATTAAGTAAATTCATGGAAAAAGGCCAGAGCTCCTTGTGTTTATCTATAAAATACAAGAACATGTGTTTTAAACCTGCAGAAGGTGGAATTATGGTGGAAATGTGTTCAAATGTGTAGCTGTGATTAAGACACACAGTGGCGTTTTAAACATGCAGCGGCTTTATGATTCTCTTCCTCTGAAAGAAATCTTCCAAATTTTCCACATTCCTGACACTTTTTAACCCGTTGAGGATGTTGTATAAAGTTGAAAATGATTTTATTCAATATCTGAATTTAATTCAGATATGCTTCTTATTTTCCCTTTTTTTTTTCTTCCTTGCTTGCTTTTTTGCTCAGTTTTTCTCTTTGCTTCCTTTCGTTCTTTCTTTTTATGCTCCTTTCTTTCTCGTTTGCTTTTTCCTCCGACAGTTATTTTAGAAACTGATGGGTAACATTAACCCGTCAAATCAACATGTTTCCTCTCTCACCGATTCCCTGCAGGATACCGTGGCTGTCGGTCTGAAAGTCTCTGGTTTTTGTTTCCAGGATGCCGTTTCCGACTCTGACATCTCGGCCAGCACCGAGAACTTATCTGACAACAAGCAGGTCAGTGAGGGAAAAACCCAGGAAACAATAAACTCACATCAAACCTCCTGGTTTATCCTCAAGCTTTTATTCTGACGTTTCATCAGGAGAAAACTGGAGGTCTGTTCAGTAGACTCCTCAAAAAGACGCCCAAAGGAGAAAAGACTGAGACTCCAGTAAGCGGTTGTTGTTGTCCAATGTTTTATAAAGTCTTATAAAACATATATAAAACCTTTTGAATGACTTTCTGTTTCAGGACAGAGAGGCTCAGAGGGATCCGTCAGCCAGCTGTGAAGACCTGGCTGAGAATAACAAGGTCTGGATCTCAACACCTTCAGTCTCCTCATCTCAAAACGTTTACTGACTTTCAGTGTCGTATTTATAGGAGAAAAACATTTTCAGCAACAAGTTTAAGAAAACACTGAAGCCAGCAGCAGAGGGCGCTAAAGCAGAGACACAGGTACTGCAGCGTCATCAGACGTAAACGAAACTCCTGATTCTGGGTTTTTCTTCACCGTTTTCTGCTTCTGCCTGCAGGACATGGACACTGACAGACGACTGTCCGCCAGCAGTGAGGACCTGACCGGCCCAAAGGTTTCCATTTCATTAAACCACTTCCTCTCGTTTTTTTAACGTGACCATGGGCTGAAAACATTTCTTCATTCATTCTCTGAACAAAAACTAAAAACGTTTGCAGTTTTCTTTAAGCTTTAAACATTTAATACACTGCAAAAACACAAAATGTTACCCACTAATTTTGGTCAATTTTATTACACTTGAAATAAGACAAACTAATTAAACCTAACTTTTTATAATGATACACAGGTTTGTTTTGAGTAAACAAGACGTTTTTCACGTTTTAAGTTAACTTATCTGCCAAGGGAACTAGTTTTTTTGTTTTTTTAAAACAAATATTAAGAAATTATTTACTTAAAACATACTTCTATTTCTTACTGAAAAGTTACTTTTAAGTTAATCGTATTTGAATTTTTTCTAAGATATTTGCACTAGAAACTAGACAAAAATGACTTGGTCAGATTTTGTGTTTTTGCGTTATTTGAGTTGTACATTTTTTTACAGTTGTACATGTTTTATGAGATTTTTGACTTAAACCTCATAAAACACATTGAATCCACATAATTATACGATTTATGTCATAAATCTCATAGCTACTGAGCAGCTTTACCTTAAATACTAAATAAACTAAATTATTGTAAATCAGCTTTAGCAGCTGCTGCTAAAGCTGATTTAATATCCTGAGTCTATTAATATTATTGGATTAATAAATGTGACAATGTTGCTCTTGCACCTCCTATAAGCATAAACATGAATATGGGTCACATTAATCATTTCAGCTGTAGTTTAAATTGCAGCAAATAGTTGAAATTGGAGAGTAGTAGGAGAAAGTGATCAGTTTATCCTGCAGTTTAAATATGTGGCTACAGAGATAACTCCATGATTACTGTTGAGTCCAATTCAGTTTTTTATTAAATTAATAGACAGAAATCATGTTTGTCTGATTGCAGGAGAAAAAAGGAGGCCAGGCTGGAATATTCAAAAGATCTTCAAGCTTTGACAACCTGCTGGACGAGGTCAGTTAAACGAACACCTGAACTTCACTTCTTCTCCTTTTAAAACCAATCAATGTGTTTTTCCTCCAAAGTTTGAAAATCAAACACGCTTCGCTTTGAATCCACCTTCTAGATCTGGTTGTTTTTTTCTATTTTTAGGGCAAAAATATTTTCAGCGGCATGTTTAAGAGAAGTCCGAAGCCTGCAGAGGAGGTAGAATAAAAACTCTGCTGAACATCTTTGTTTCTTCATCCAGATTTTAATCTCTGTTGTGTCTTTAGGGCTCAAATGCGACCAGCAAAAACACAACGATGTTTGGCAGCACTGAAGATCTGCTGGAGGCAAATTCAGCAAAAGTAAAAGAAAATTTAATCAAAATTAAATGTTTGACTTAATTTAGTTTCTCATCACAAATATTCACTTTCTTTTTATATGGAATTATCTTTTGCTGCAGGAGAAAAAGGGAGGACTTACAGGCTTCTTTAAAAAGTCGCCTAAACCGTCTCCGCGCTCCGTTGCTACTGAGGTGATGAAATCATTCAAAGCAGCAAAAGTGTTTATTTGTAAAACTTAAACTGTTCATCTCTGATGTTCAACATATTTATTCTTCTTTAAAATAGACACTTTGAGCTCAACGGGGAAACAATCCTGCCAATATGAAGCCAGATTTATACGTGATATTCATGAAAATATTGAATTTCTATTGGCAGATTATATAATCTGTAACATGGGAAAATATATTTTTATAAGTGAAATAATCTGCCAAAAGAACTCGAACTTTTTTTTAATCAATATTAAGAAATTATTTTCTTAATAAAGTTTCTATATCTTGCTGAAAAGTTACTTATCAATTAGTTTTCTCTCATTTTAAGTTTATAAAATGAGCAATATATTATAAAAAAGCTCACAAATTTCTGAGGTGATTTGGAAATTTAATGTTGAAATGATTTTTCTCTTTTCCAGGATCCGCTGACGAAGCAGCTGTCGTCCAGCTGGGACAGCCTGACTGAGGCTGGGAACGTAAGAGCCAGAGCCTGAAACCTTTGACTAGACCAAACATTGACAATCCCTTTAGTCATTTCTGCTCCTGGAGCTTCACAAAACATGTAGCTTTATTTTCTTAAACTGTTCAGATCTGAGGATTAAAGTGAGTTTAAATCCAAACATTTAAACCAGAGTTCAGATATTTTCTGAGCTTTTTTATGAAAACTGTATTTTACGTTTGTTAATTCACTAAAAATATACAAATATTTGAGTATAATCTCAAGGTTTTGTCTATATTGTATCATTTTGTTTGAATTTTACTTAAAATGATTAAATGTTTCTTTTTAAAGGACGACAGCACCTCTCAACAAGAATTATCAGCCAGTACAGATAATCTTTGTACCACGAAGGTAAATCCCTTAGATTTCACATCTTAACACTTTTTTCCCTCTTAATTTAAACCTTCATGTTTATGAAACAGGAGAAAAAAGCCGGGCTGTCTGTGATGTTCAAACGAACGCCTAGAAATACGGAGCAGCAGGTAAAACAACCTAATTCTATAAATAAATATAAATATTCTGCTACTGCTAGTAACAATCGAAATGTTTAAAACTAATGATTTTAGTTTTAAATCATTAGTTAATTAGATTCATGCCACATGGAGTAATACAAAGACCCTGCTGTTCATGATCAGTTCTGTCTATTTATATTAATGGTAAGTTGAGTGGAAGGAAAAAATGTGGTGGAAAAAGTTGTACAAACAATGTGGCAAACAGAGTTTATAAAGATAAAAAACATTTAAGAGTTTTTGTATTAAAATCCTTTATTGCTCTTTGACAATATTTTTTGGTTTGGGTTTTTTCATTATCTGTAAACCTTGATGATCAAATTAAAAAAAATTTACACCTGAAATTAATTTACATAAGATTTTAGTTTTGACTTTTTGTTGAATTTTGAGAATCTCGAGTTTGATTTGAATTGCAGAAAATAAAATAAAAACAAGTTAATATTAAATAAAATCCTATCCTTTATATAAATCTAAAATTAAGCAGTTTTATGTTCCAGTTACCCGATGATGTTTTTGTTTCTTTTTTTGTTGGTTTGCAGGAAGGTGAAGACGCGGCGCCACCTGCTGGACGCGGACTGAGTTGCAAGAGAAGCATAAAGGAGAAACGAAGAGCAAGTTATTTTTTTCTTTGTCATTTCTAAGTTGCAGAACAATAAACTAAATTTGGAGTTATTTATAGTGACGAAATGTAAAATTTTCTTGAAGTTTTATTTTGTTCTTGTTCACGTTTGATAGGTTGTGTCTTTTCGAGTCAAGAAAACTCTTCCCAGAATGTCCAAAGAGGTATTTTCTGCTTAATGTTGGGTTTGCATATGAAACTGACTTAATTCGTTCCTACAGACAGATTAATTTATTTAACAGTTTTATTTTTTATCTATTCAGGAATCCAGTGAAATGCCTGCTATTGAGGAGAGCGTCGAGATGGAGGATCTGAACTCTCCACAGGTCAGAATAAATTAATTTCCATAAGTTATTAATAAATAAATGATTTATTTTCTCATCTTTATTATAATATTTACATATAACTCCACATCCTAAGCATCTTTAAAGGATTATTTTCTTATTCTGGATTTTATTGCCACAAATAAAGAATTAAAAAGGAGGTTTTTTCAATAGACTGATGGATTCCTTTACTGATTAAAGGATGTTGGAGTTTTTAGCTGAAATTATTTCAAACTGAAAGTTCCTGTTTGACATTATGAACCTTTAAAATGTTTTACTGTTTCTTCCTGCATTATTTCAGTATTGAAACAGAACTTAAACAGCATCTCTGATTGAATGAAAATCCAGATTGTCAGAGCCAAAATATTTTCCTTTTATGAGAATAAGACATATTTGTGTGTTTTTCTGATTGAAAACAAAAGAACCTCCATAAACTTGAACTATTTGTAAATCAGGAGAGCACGGTGGAGGTGGAGCCGGTGGAGATGGCAGCATATCCCACTGAAGAAAGCGTGACCCAGATGGAGCAGGTGGGATTAAACCCAGGGTGTTAAATAACGGAGCAGTTTGTCTCCAGATTAACAGAAGCTTCTGTGTTTGCAGGAGAACAACGAGCTGATGGAGTGGTGGAACTCGGTGAAAGGTTGATATCAGACTGGTTTAAATTGAACATAAATCTGGTTCCGTGTTTGTTTCTTGTTCTCTGATGGATTTGAGCCGCTGGTTTCCAGGTTGGACCGAGTGGAACGAGACCTCAAATTTCCAGGAGGAAGATGAGCAAATGTAAGAACTTCAAAGGAAAAGACTTATTTTACTGGGGATTACATTTACAGGCTTTATTCCTTGTCCCATTTTTTAAAATGTTGCATTTCTCTGTCCATTTGTGCATCCGTCCATTCAGAAGTTTAATTTACAAAAATGATTGTATTAGGGCCAGGATAGAAAAATGTAGAAAATGTATAAAACTACATGAATAAACTCATGATATTACAAGATTTAAGTCACACAACTACAGGAATAAAGTAGAAAAAAATACCAAAATAAAGACAAAATATTATGAGAATAAAGCAAAAAATAATAATAAGGGAATAAAGTTTTAAAATTACAAGAATGGAGTAAAAAAAGAGAATAAAGTTGTGTTATGACTATTCTCACCAAATACTCCGTCATTTCTGAAGACGCTTCAAAAACATTAAATTTACTGAAATCTATAAAGTAGTGATTCAGTCCAAGTGATTCAGTCCAACCATGTGATCAGATTCAAAGTGAGTTGAATACATTTGTTGTTTTTTAAGATAAATTTCAAAATAAGTGTAATATTTTTGATCAGAAGATAACTTAAGTTAAAATGTTCATTTTATTGGCCAAATAACAAAATAATGTGTCAAATCTGCAGTCTTTGATTTATTTGTTCCTGTGAAACTCCTTCCATATTTCCATCTTGATGTTTTGATTTGTATTTTCTGTCTGCAGTGCGATGGAGCAGGCAGCCGATCGAGTTTACATGGCAGCCCGTGTTTTCGTTCACCTTTTCAACCAGCGGGGGGCGTCCTTGCAGCACCACATCCTGGAGCTGCTGTCGATGGCCGACGCCGCAGACGAGTTCCACAAGAAGACGGTGACGGCCGCTGTGGGAGGGGGCGTGGCCAGCGTGGCGGGCAGCGTGGCGACCATCACCGGCCTCATCCTGGCTCCGTTCACCTTCGGGGCGTCGATCATCGTCACGGCGGTGGGGATCGGCGTGGCGACGGCCGGCAGCATCACGTCGGCGACGGCCAACATCACAGACACCGTGCACTCCAACATGGACCGCAAGAAGGTGGAGAAGATGATCCAGGGCTACCAGGAGGAGATCCAGGACATCAGGAAGTGCCTGGAGTTTGTTCAGGTGAGGAAATTATTTTAAAATATCAAAACGGAAACTATTCCCCTGAAAACATGGTGGGAAAAATCTATTAAAAAGTCCATTAAAAACTCTGAAGACCTCCAGAAAACTGAAGAGCAATCGCTTTTCTGGAAATGACACGAAGCTTTTTATGAACTATGTGATGCTGTGATGGAGCCGGCTGCAAACTGTCCAAACAAACAAATATTTTGTTTATTGACACTTTATGACAACTAACTTTTCATCAGGAAATAGCAGCTTCTCTTAAGTAAATTATTCCTTAATGTGGATGAAAAAGTTCCAGTTCTGATTGCAGGTTAATTCATTTTTCCTGCTTTAATTGAAACAATCTGCCAGTTGAACTAGTTTCCTTTTCATCAACACTAGTTGATGAAAAACTATTTGAAGCAACGATAATCGCTTCAAATTATTGTGGAAACAATCTCCTGTATTTTGCTGAAATACAAAATGATAAGAATGTTTTTGCGCTCAAACTTTTCATGAACACTCATGAGTGTTTCCATTAAGATGATTTATTTTCATTTCATTTTTCACATTTCTACGGTTAAAGGAAACGCAGCTGCTAATCGTCTGGTGTTGTTGCTTCCCGTTGCAGGAGGGCATGAACACCCTGGAGGAATGGGATTTTGAGAAATACTCAGAAAGTGCCGCCAAAAAGGCTCTAAACCACAACATCAAACACGTGATGAAGGAGGGCGGCCGGGCGGGGAAAGCCCTCATGATCAACACCGATAAACTCATCAGCACCGTTCAGGTTCTGGGCGCAGCCGGCGGCGCCGCTAAGGCCGTCCAGGCCATCAGCGTCACCACGGGCGTCATGTCCGCCCTCTTCCTCGCCCTGGACATCTTCTTCCTCGCCAAAGACTCCCACAAACTCCACAAGGGAGCCAAGACCAAGTTCGCCGCCAAGATCCGGCAGGTGTGCAAAGACCTCCAGGAAGGCCTGCTGGAGCTGAACAAGGTGAAGACGCAGCTGCAGAAGACGATGGACGGCATCGAGGTGGAGGAGTACGAGGACGTCGAGGAGGTGGAAGACGAGTTTGAGTCCGACCCGAAGAAACTGGCAGAGCTAGAGCAGGAGATTGACTTCCTGGAGGAGAAACTGGACAAAAAGGAGGAAGAGGTGGAGCCGAAGAACAGCAAAGAGACGATGGCGTCGGATATCTTTAAAATAAAGAAAGAGAAGATTGTGGAGAAAACTGAAGAAATTGAGGAGAAAAAGGACGATGAGGAACCAAAGAAGAGCAAGGAGTCGGTGTTGGACATTTTTAAAATAAAGAAAAAGGAAGAGAAGAGCGCGAAGGAACATGAAGTGGAGGAAAAAGAGGAAGAGGTGGAGGCGAAAAAGAGCAAAGAGACGACAGCGTCTGATATCTTTAAAATAAAGAAAAAGGAAGAGAAGATTGTGGAGAAAACTGAAGAAATGGAGGAGAAAAAGGACGATGAGGAACCAAAGAAGAGCAAAGAATCAATGTTGGACATTTTTAAAATAAAGAAAAAGGAAGAGAAGAGCGCGAAGGAACATGAAGTGGAGGAAAAAGAGGAAGAGGTGGAGGCGAAAAAGAGCAAAGAGACGACAGCGTCGGATATCTTTAAAAAAAAAGAAAAAAAAAAGAGGAGAAGAGCATGAAGGATAAAGATGTGGAAGTAAAAAGGGAGGAGGAGGAGCCAAAGAAGAGCAAAGAGTCGGTGTTGGACATTTTTAAAATAAAGAAAGAGAGAAAGGAAGAAAAGAATGCAAAGGAACAAGAAGTGGAGATAAAAGACAAAGGTGAGAAAATATCTGAGAAGGAAAATGAAACGAGTGTGAAAGCAGAAAAAGACGTTTAAAAAAAACAATTTGAGAAAGGAAGCAAGAAAGAGAAAGAAACTGGGACCCAAACGTCACCTGGAAAGACTAAAGAAGAACCGAACAAAACCCCAGAAATCAAAACGAAGCCTGAAAAAGAGCAGAAAGAAACAACAGAAATGCAGAGGAGGAGAAAACCCAGAGGAGAACTGAGACATCAAGGAGACACAGCAGCCGGAGCGAGAAAGACAGAAAAACACGAAACACGAGAAAGGAGGGAGGAGAGGGGAAATCACCACAGAGACAGAGAGAGCTGGAGGAGGACAGGAGGGGAGGAGACGGGACGAAAAGACTCGCATCGAAGCCACAGAGACCAAGAGTCTCCGAGGAAGACGAACCATCGTGTTAGGGAGAATGAAGAGCGGAGCGGCAGAGTGGAGAGCGCCCGGAGACGCTTCGATAGAGCCGCCGGAGACCAGCAGCAAGAGGAGGAGGAGAGGAGAGGAAGTGGCAGGGAGCCGGGGCACAAAGGATCCAGGTCCAAATACTACGCCCTGAGGCACGACGGCCTGAACATCTAAACCAGAGTTTAAAAGAAATGAAAAACTAAACCAAACTTTCAATAAATATGTAATAAATATTTTTTTTTTTAGAAAAGTTGCGTACTGCAGCTTTAAGGGCAGCGGGCTTTTTGACTGACTTAAACATTATGTGTCGACACTGAACTTCTACAAAATACTGAGGCTTTTTAACACTTTAAATTTTAAAGTTGTTTCAGTTCCTCAGAAAAACAGTTTATAAGTAAAAATCATCACTTTTTTTAAAAAATTCATAATATAACAACGGTTTAATTTCAGTTTTAAGAAACGGCACCGGTGAGGTTATATTATGAATCTTCAGACAAATAAAAACCAGAAACATTTTTAATTAGTCTTCAAAGGTTTTTTTTTTTTTTACAATAACAAAGTTTGATCCGCCACAACTATGTTTGAGTTTTTCACTTTTTTCCACTTTTCTCTGAAAATATTGTTTTCAAGACTTTCAAGACGTTTGAGTGAGAAACATGGAGTCTGTTGCTGTTTGTATCGCTGCTGCTTTTGGGGTAAAACTACAAATATTTAAATGCTTATTTGTAAACAAAATGCTGCTTATAGGTTCATATCCTAGTTGTGTTTCTTTTATATTATTTTCACTGTCAGCTGTTTTATATTCGGTTGCTATAAAAACCGACCCAAAGCTTCAACAGGTTGAAACAGGTTTAACCAGACATCGCTTTTTCATTTCAAATGGGATTTCTGCTATTTTAAAATGTTTTTATTCAGTGTTTATATATCCATATATATATAAATTTGTTTTTATATGATGCTGGTTACATGTTTTTTAAAAAATTGTTCGAGGGGTTTTTAATGTCTATGAGCAGTAAAGTAAACGGCCGCTAGGGGGAGCCAGAAAGCTTAAAATTGACGAGACAGACTGGTTGGTGGTTTCTGGGCTTTTCAATGCAAACAGCTGTCAAATGCAGATTATATAAATAATAATTTTAATTTTTTTTCCTAATCTTAACCATGCTAATTCTGAAATTATTTTAACTATTTTCCCCAGAGTTTATTTCTTAAGAGCTAAATAAAACTTGCTCTGTTGATCACCGTCATGTTGCACTTCCTTCTGCCAACACAAGAGGGTGGTGCTGCCCCGCATTTCAAATCACAATCATTTTCAAACATGCGGAAAAATGATCTTTACTTTAACTTAAAATAATGGTAAGAAAATTATTATTTAAATGTAAATTATTTACATTTAATAATTATCTAAAAATCATATCAAAAAAGTTCAGATCAAGTTTAATAAAATATAATTGATCACATCTGTATATCTTCTTTTATGATCTTGTCAAGAAAGCTTCTGAAACAAACCAACCATTTGATCAGATAATCTTATCAGATTATTTTGTTTGTCCTCCACTTTAAAGTCATCTGAACTTCTAATCAGAGTGTGTAAATATGGGCCCTGAAGGAACAAACAGGGGAAACTTTCTTTACATTCAGGTTGGGGCTTATTTACTAAAGGTGATGCTTTTTTTACTTTTTCTTATCTCAGGAAAAGTTTTAGCGCTGCTGCGTATTTACATAACACAGAAGTTTTCCTGCGACTGAAGAAATGCATTCTTTCCAGGAAAACTTGATCGTTTTGACAAAATACCTGCAGGCTGGAACGGCTGGATGCATCCAGTGTTTGATAACTTCATTTTCAGGCGGTTCAGTATTTTCCCTCACAATCTCAGGCCGTTCTGACTGGCACCACGATCAGATTCAACGAATGAAATCAATGTTCCCAGAATAACAACAAACCTAAGAGGAATTTATAACTAATGGGAAGAAAAGTTGGAGTCATGAGACTTAAGATAGTTTCTGAATGTTCTGGCCTCCAACAGAACCAGCATGACGACAGAGATCCACAAGCACACAGTGTTTTTATGTTTATATGTTTAAACCAAACTTACTGGCTTTTGTTTTCCAAGCATGATTTATGATGTTGAGTCAGAATTTAAACTTCTGGTTTTGATTTTTAAGGCATTAAAAAAAGTTAAAGTGTGAAAAATCTGTTTATTTCTAGAAAATAAGATCATTTCTGAGTTTGAAAACCTCAGACATTTTCTAGAAAAACACATGGAAAACTTAGTTACATTTTTTTTTATAACATTTGAAATTCTGAAACTTTCCAAAAGTCAAAAGATTGAAACTCTTCTCTTAGAGAAAAATAATTCCTGTGATTAATCTCAAAATGGTTTTTTTTAGCATTTTTTTCTTTTCAAACTGAGAAATTTTCACGTTTTTTCTAGAAAATTTCTGATTAACCTCAAAATTTCAGTTTTTTCTAGCATATTTTCAACTTTTTAAGATAAAAAAATGTCCTTGTTTTTTAAGATTTCTTGGTGGACACTCACTATTCTTTTTGTATCTACACCGTCATACCTGACGGCCCCTTGCAGAGTAGTAAATATTTTATAAAATTCAGCCAAACTGCCATCATACTAGTGTACATTTTCAATACTTTGACTACTTGGAGGAGCTCACAGATTGTGTACAGAGCTTTAAACTCTCAGCTAAAAATGGTCTGGAGATCATGAAGTATGTGGAAAAAAACAAAATGTCTACATCCTTCATTCCAATATACATACACTATTCAAACCTACGACGCTTCATGGATTTAATGGCAGATTTTGTGTCAGAGACATTAAAAAAACGATCGGCTGGCAGTTTTGCTGCGCCGTATTTAAATCTAAAACCTCTTCCTCGTTCTTTCTTCAAATTCCTTACCTTCAAAAATAAAAAAATTTGTGGCAAACTAAAGAGCTAGTTGCACAATGTTCTGGAACTAAAGTAGTTCTGCACATGTGACAGTTGCAGGTCTGTCACATGTGGTTTTGTTTCTGGCAAAATGTCACATTTCAAAATGAGAGATGATTCCCAGTATGAATCACAGCATCAAATTGTTCTCAAAGACAAAACCAGTTCACTGCACCAAAGACGATTTTACTGAAGTGAAATATTCTCAGAAGAGTCTCCACCCATGAATCCAAAAATAGTCTCCAGTATTAATACTTAATTACTAATACCAGTTTACAAAAAGCAGCACATGATTCAGTTCAAATCAGTTTAATTTGTTTTCAGGCAATTCAGTCATCTAACTAAAAAAGGAAAACAGTTAATTTGTGACAAATAATCAAATTAAGTTAATTCTATTGAGTTAGTTAAGTGTCATATTTAACAAACATTAATGAATCAAATTTTTTGTATTACTTGGAGCTCCATTGTGGGGGGTTTTCGGTGTAGTCCTGTTTGAATCACAATAATGAACTCAAATTACAAAACATTACAGTATAATTTCATTAGTAGCTTAATTAATAAAAGGGAATTCAAGATTGCATCAACTTCTTCAATTTGAGTTAAAAGTTTCATCCAATCAATACAATAAAGTCCAGGGTTTTCCAGAAAGCCCCTTCTTGGGAGCGCCACTGCAAAGTGAAAGGCTTTTTGTGAAATTATACTTTGATATTGGTTTTATTCCATCTTTTAATACATCAACGGAATCAAATTATTCTCTGTTTATTTCAAAGAGTCATGGATGAGCTGGTGACGTTTTTATTTCTCATTAAATAAATTTTTTCTCGTAATTTTAAGACATTCTTTTTGTAAAATTGCATCTTTATTCTCCTGATATTATGGCTACATTCTCGTAATTAAAACGTTTCATACAAACTTTTCAACTTTTTTATACTTTTATTTGGATCTGAACTGCTTCTAAAATCAGTACTTAAAAAAATCCACCTAGCGATTCACAGCCAGTCAGGACTTTCTCCCATTCACTGGGATTCCTCTGGCAAAACTTCAACCGCACCAATCAGCGAATAGAACAATCACATCAATTTCTTAGCTTCATAGGGTCAAACTGGTGCGTCACATACGTCACAACTGAACATTAGCAATTTGGTCAAATTTAAAGCTTCAACAGAATCAACACCTCCAGGAAGAAATTGTTTCTCAACAGCCAGCCTGAGTGGAGAAGTCTGGTTTTTTCCAGGCTAATAAGTTAAGTCACATTCGACGGGCTCTGTGCTGTTTCCTAGCAACCCCCGTCTGTCACCTAGCAACCCCCGCTGAGTGTAAACATGGAGTCGGGCGAGTGTAAACATGGAGTCGGGCGAGTGCGGCCACCAGCAACTTATCTGGATTTTGAGAGACAGGAGGCACTAAAACAAGCTAAAATGTCATCATGTAAGAATGTTTTTGAGCAAAACATGTAATGAACGAGTTTGTGTGGCCCGTAAACCTGTCCTGACATGTTCAAGGAAGCGTAATAGGTCACCTTTAAGGTCGCTGTGAGCTCAATGGGGGTGAAAATGGTCGTAAAACCAGCTGAGACTGCGTCGTTAAAAGCTTGGAGTCGTTACATGAACTTTCTGTCATTAAATAGAGGTGGTGACCTTCGATCTGAAATCCATAAGGCTCCACCCTGCTGTCCAAACACTTTGCCACGAAACGCCAAGATCAAAAACAAAACAGCAGCTCAAGTCTAAACAAATCTCTCTGGTTTCATAAACTAACAACGCTTCATGTTTAGTTAATTACCTCTCATTTAAATTACATCTCAGTGACGGTCAGTGATGTTGACAGCAGCAATCAAATGCATCTACTCTCAATGAAAGGCCTCATTGTCTCGCTTGTCTTCTTTTATTTGCTCTGTTCAAACAATCATAACTGGGTTGGGCCGCAAGAAGTTCTGAGCCGGAAAGCAAATAAAAAAACAAAGCGATCTGTTGAGCTAAGGATCAAAAGCAAGACAAAACTAAATAAAGATAAAACAGATGCATGAGCTTCCCCCACAAAAGTAGCACATTTCAGTCTTAAGTTCAACAATATACAAATAAATAAGAGCTTATCGTTTAGTGAAGAGGCTTTAAAGTTAAACTTTTTTGTTTGTTTCAAAAACATAATCTGTTTATTTTGTGTCTTGTTTAAATATTTTTTACTTCAATGCATTAGCTTAAATTTACATTTTCTATTAGCTTGAATGAAAAAAGTCTGACTAACTGATTAATTTAATCTCCAAATGTATTAAAAAGGCTAATAATGATCTAATCTTGTTTAATCGCTTTAATTCTGTTATCATTGGTGGCTTTAATGCATGTTTTTGTTTACCTCCAGCAGAGCTGCTTAAAGGTGCAGAAACTGAAAATGTCTTCAAAGCCCAAAATACTTTACGAATCGCAAAGTAAAACAGCTGTTAGGTTGCATTTATACAAAAAAAAAAAAAATCAAAATAGTGATGATAAAATAAAATGCAATGCAATAAAAGAATCCCATTTGAAGCTTAAATCTAAAATAATCACCTTTATTAGTTTTCTCTGCCTTCTTGCCTAGAACTGAATAAACACAGATTATTTTTAAAACAAAAATCTGGATCTACGATCAAGGAAATTCATGTTGGGTAATTTTACGAGAAGTTTCCGTAAATCAAAACATCTTCTGAATCCAATCGATGAAAACAAAAAATAATGGTTTGTTTTCTTCCTTCCCAGAAAAACGAAGGAGAAAAAGGGAGAAACATTTAAGATGCTGACTGTGTGGGATTTCCCCCCCCCCCCATTTTTGCAGTAATGTTAACATTTGCAAGATGTTTTACACTGTTTTGTTAAATTCGACTTGTTTTCCTGAGTTTTTCTGGTGACAACAGAAACATGATCCAGTTTTAAGCGCCGATCTCAGGAAATAAAATCGCCTTCAACGTGAATTACATTTTCCTGTCAATATAACGAATTGGTAGATTAAATTGTTTACATTTATTTTAGTTTAAATTGCAGTGCTGGTGGCTGTAAATCCAGATGATGTCATTTGGAAACGTCCAGCATTAGGGTGACTAAGTGAAAAGTCACCTTAATGCTGAGCGTAGCTAGGAAGGAATGCAGCCACTCCTTGTTTGGCATCATGGCACAAACCGTCCAGATTTCTTTACCTGATGACGTCAAAGCCTTAAAAACATGACAGGTGTCGCATTCCAAATGTTATGAACTAATTTTCATGTGGCCCCGTCACTTGAAAAACATTTCACCACCGCTGTCATGCAACCATTGTGTGTTTGATTTGAACTTCCAGTTCATTCATCTGTGTAAATACTGCTTCAACTCTTCACCTTAATGAGCTTTTAGAAGGTATTAGCCCACATTTACATTCTTTAGCAGGGAGCGAGGGCCTTTTTGGGGCCACTAGAGGGATTTTTTGTGGCCCTCCGACCATAATTCAAGAGATAATTTAGGACAAAAATATGATTATGATTAATTTTGGATTAATTCTGTTTTTAAAACAAGATGTTGTTATTGCTTTGACTTAATATTTTAATTTAAAATGTCTTGTTTTCTTTAGTTAGTGGAAAATCAACATAATTGGCAGAAACGAAGGCTTGAAAACATCTGTGCCCAATTAATTCATTATTTCACTTGGTGATGAAGGTTCTACCATAAGTGTTTTGTTTTCAGTAATATTCTAATTTACTGAATGGATTCTGTAATAACGTGTTTTTAAAAATACTTTCCTGCAATGGGGCTCACAGTGGGGCGCGTGGGCCGTTTTGTGGCCACTTAACTGACCTTTTGTGGCCACAATTCAAGAATAAATTAAATTAAATTAGTACAAAACTATGACTTTTAAAATCTACCTATAAAAATGTTAGATGCAACACAAAGTGTTCATCTTTTCCAAGCTTTCTGGATTCCTTCTGTTGTCCGGGTTCTCCGGGCTGACACCGTTTCCTGGGTTTCTTGAGATCTTTTGATTTCTATTTTGAACAATTTCATTTTTTTTTTTCAATTTTTCTGCAGTTCCAGAGTGATGCAAACCTGTTTATTAAACGTTTTATCAGGTTAAAAATATTACCAACATAATTTTCTTACAGTGGAAAGATTTTTTTTTTGGTAGGAATGGAATAGTCAATTGACTTGACAATTTTCTGTAAATTATCTTTTACTGAAAACCTTTCTGTGCTTTTATTTAATTTACTAAACTTGGATTAATACAGCATGCATTTCAGAAGTTTTAACAATTGGGAATAAATTTATCCATCCAAAACTAAAAGAATTTGAAAACTAGATTATTTTCTTTCAATAAAACAAAAGGACAAATTTCTTTTTATGTTTTGGTTTTATCATAAATAACATCCGTTTCAAACATTTTCAGTTTGTTTTCTCAACCCACCAGTGATTTTGGTCCATGTTACAAAAAGTTTGGTCGAATTACCAAAGCATTTCAAACTGACACTTCACTGCAAACACACAAAAACTTACCAAGTTATTTTTGGTCTCGTTTCTAATGCAAAAAGAAATTAGCACACTTGAAATAACTTTTTCAGAAAGACATGGGAGCTTGTTTTAAGTAAATAACTTCTTGATATTGATAACAAAAGAAGTACTAATTCCACTGACAGATTATTTCACTTATAACATGGAAAATATTTAATTTTTTAAATCAATTTCAAGGAATTAAAATAATTTTATATTTCATTCTGAAGTTCATTGAAAGTGAGTTTTGCCTTATTTCAAGTGTACTAAGATTTTTGGACGATAAACTAAACCAAAAATACTTGGTAACATTTTGTGTTTTTACTTTGCTGATGGAGCAAGAAGCAAAATGAAGGTTTACAAGTGACCTAGTTAAATCCAATTAAGATTCTGTGACCTTACACCATAAAAATCTATTCATTGTGTGATCTGAAACTCAACGTCTCATCTGACTAACATCTCAAAACTCCCCTCAGTGGTCAAACTTGTTCCACAGAAACCTGTTTATTCCACCCATAAAACCAAACAAAAGCACACATGTGACATCCTGGTACCCAGACAGGTGTTCCTGCTAAGCCCCGCCCCTTTCCAGGTGGCTGTAGAAAAGCTCCATCAGCATCCCCCTCTGAACAGAACCAGACGATCTGCTGCCAACAACTCCTCCTTGAGCCAACCGTCACATCCAGTAAGTCAAGACTTTGTTTCTTTACAAGAACCGGTTTAGGTTTTTCTACTAATTTAAACATTAAAACTTTAAATCTGATCATTTTTAGTAAACCAGAAGACATAAATTTAATTAAAGTAATTTTATAAAGCTCTTTAAATAAGATTTATGTTTTTGTGATGTATTTCTGTGAAAAAGAACAGAATAATTATAAATCTTATTTTGTTTTTTATCATGTATCTCTTCTCATTAAATTTCAATTGTGTATACAAAGTTAAGACATATTGTAAATTTATTTTTCCATTTTAATGTTGCTTTTTGTCAAATAAAAATTCTCATAACAATTTTTTAACATTATTTGTGTAAATATTTATATTTTCCAGGCAGAAATGGAAAATAAGATGATGCAGGTTTTTGCCACACTGATGGTTTTCCTGGCTCTCAGTTTCCAGCCAGTACTGTCACAGGTTAGTCTATATTATTATTATTATTGTACTGCTAATACTTTATGACCAACAACTTTAATGTACTTGCAAGATAAAAAGATCTCAGTGCAAAAACACAAAATCTTACCTAATCTAATTTTTGGTCTAGTTTCTAGTTCAGATATTTTGGTAATTTTTTACAAAAGACAAAACTAAGTAATAGAAAACCTTCAGCAAGATATAAGTAAATGATTATTTAATATTGATGAAAAAGTTCAGTCTCATTAGTAGATAATTTCACTCATGATATGGTAACAATGTCCTGTTATAAATTAATTAATCTGCCAGTGTTTTATTCATAAATATTAAGGAGTTACTTGAAACAATCTCTTATTTCTTGCTGAAAAATTACTCGTTTTATCTTGAATGTATTAAGATGTTTGCGCTGGAAACAAAGTACACGATATTTGGTAACATTTTGTGTTTTTGCAGAGCTGAACTTACAAAAATGTCTCAAATCCAACTTACTGACACAAATTTACTCAGATCTGGTGGAACTTTTTTTAAAGCATTGCTGTTTGAATAACCTTTAAAAACTCAGAGGGAAAATAGAAAGACTTGACTGATGATGGGGAAACAAACAAAAGCTCAAAATCTTTAGGTTTGGTTTTGTTAAACTGTAACCAATTGTTCACTTGAAGCTTAAGACGACTGAAGAAAGTTATCCATTAGCTTTAACGCTGAGACGTTTTAGTGGCGGAAAACAGAAACATGTTAATTCCATGTTAACTTAATTAACATGGAATTGGTATGTGGTATGTAATTGATATGTAATCTTTCTGTTAAAGCTCCACCAGAAGATTAAAGAATCTGTTGACTGTTTATTGACTTATTGGTTCGTTTTTGTCTTCATAGGTTTCTATTTCTAAAACAGAATGTGGCACATCCAAGCTGTGCGTGCAGAGTCCTGCAAACTGCGACCCTGCAGACAACACCACCGTTTGTCTTTTTGGATCTGCTCGCCCCACAGCGTTAAACCCCCCAAATGGTGTCGACATGGCCTTTGAGCTCAGTGGGAACTCTTCTGGGTACATTGCCGTAGGTCTCACCAACACCGACGCTGTGGTAATTATTATTAGATTTTCAAAAGTACTTCAGAGTAAATGTTTGGGGGAAAAAACATGGAGATACAAAATATTGGTGATAGCTGAACAGTGTGCATAATATATGAGAAGTGCTGAATGGTGCCTAAATTTTAATGGTTGCAAATATTTCAATGAACTTTTCTGCAACATCCTGTTTCTGTTAGCACAATTCTTTATTTTGTACTTGCATTGGTATTTATGGGCTTGAAATGTAACATATTAAGTAGAATAGGTAAATCTGTCTAATCAATTTAGTCAGAGAAAAACTTACTTTGATTTATGTTTGCTTATGTGTGAAGGTAGAATACATAAAGTATATGGTAGATTTTTTTTCCAAAACTCTCTTTAGGATTTGTGCCAATATTTTATTATTGCTTATACATTCTTGTTTATTTACTTACATAAACTATATTCTTGTTTGCAGATATGTAAAAGAAATTGTAACTTCAAAGATTTAAAAAATATTGTCACAACCTTTTCATCCAACTATATTTATTAAAATTATTATTTAAAAAACAAACAGCTACAAGATGGGGACAACTTTGACTTTTTGGTTAAAACAGTAACTTTACATTTTAAAATCATTTTTATCATTTTATAATACTAGCTAGCTGTCACACCATTTAGCTAAATAACATTTAGCTTAGTTTAGCTAATTTTATTTTCGCTTAGTCTCATCAAAGTTAACCAGATTGTCTTAACTAACATCAAAATTTAGCTAAGCTAAGCTTACTTTAGCTTGATTGCATTTATTTATGCTGCGTTTAGCTTCACGTAGCTTAGCTTACATTAAATGGATATATCTTAACATAATTTAAGTGAGTTTAATAAAATTAGGTGAAAGAAATATTATGTCAAATGATGGTGAACAGTAAGTTAAACTGAAGACAAATTAAACAGTCATATCTTTGTACAACATTCATAATTTCTGACTGAAATGTTGCAATGCTTCTCTCCACAGAACATCATGCTTTTTGTTTGCGCTCAAAACAGTTCAAACGGGACTTTCTTCAGCATGTCGACGATTAGTAACAATGGAACCCTGAACAGTACTCTAGCGAAGGTAAGACTTAACTTTTAACATCGCGTCGTTCCTAGAAAACTACTTGAATAAAATTTTTATGGAGAAAAAGTTAAGTAAGAGTATTCACAACTCATAAAATATTATGTGAACGGCATTTATTAACTTAAAATGTATTTATTTTACGTGTAAATGTATTACACGTAAATTTATTACATGTAAATTTATCTACTAGATCTTATTCATATATTTTTTTTTTGAATTATTCATGACTCTGACTTCAAATTTTCAGGCTATGACAAATGTTAAAAACACTGTCAATGGTACCAACATCAAGTGTACATTTAATGTCGCTGGTCTGAATGCCACCACCGACACTGGACTCCTCAGGGCCGCCGATACCACCTATAGAATGGTCATCGGATCTGGACCACTGGATGGAAGTAAGAGGACAAACATATATGTGTATACATATCTTTTTTTTACATGTTTAGCTGTTTCAAGTTTAATGAATGATAGAAATTTACACGTTTGAAGCATGGATTAAAAACAATTATTTTCTTTTCAGGTGGACTTGGACGTTTCACCATTGATGCACGCAGTGAGGCTATAGATCTTTCCAACTTCCTAAACTCGACAAACACCACAGCAGCACCATCAGTATCACCATCAGGGGCCAACCGTCCTTTCTACTCTAATGGTAAACTATGCACAGAGCTAATGAATATTTAGATCTACATATTCCTACATTCAAAATAATCATTTTGTGTAGTTACCCAACATCCAAAGACTCTATCTTATCTTTGATCATTTCCAAATAATACATATGAATACTCTTCCCAGGGATCAGGCTTTATGCATGTTTCACCATCTCAAATTTAAGATATTTTAAGACCATTATGAATGAAATCTAAGACCTATATCAAGACAGAAATGGAAAAAAAAATCTTTTGTATCTCTTGGCAGAAGCTTAGCAACGACAAGACCGAAAAAAGCTAGCAAGCTAGCAAATACTAGCAGCTAGTTAGCGGTATCTTTATCCGCCTTGAGTCATGCAATGAAGATGCCGAACCATTTCCTGATAGAAAATTCCCAGGACACAAGATTAGTCCTAACATAACACAATTGTGATTTTTGCATTAGAGACCAACTTACGTGTTCCTTAATTAATTTAAGACATTTTAAGGCCTTAACTTCTAACATAAATTTAAGACTTTTTGCGTTTTTCCTTTAAACTCCCAAAATTTCTGCTCGACCAAAAGAAAATGGTCTCTTATTTAGATTTTAAAAAGTCCTCCGATAAGAGCAGATAAATCCACATTTCACAATAAACAGTTTGAAACTGACATAATTTTTTTTTGTAATTTCACATTACCTTCTCTAATTAACATGTCTTTCTGTTTTTCTCCTCCAGCTGCGCTGCCTCTGGTCAGCTTCCTCACACTGTCCATCCTGACGTTCGCCTGATCAAACCCAGAGAAGAAAAAGCTGTTATAACCCCATAAAGACACAGTGAAGGGTGCTGCTATAAAATGCAGCAAAAACTGAGTGTCATACTGTTTATGAAGTGTTTTTACAAAACTAATTCAGAGATGAATACATTATATTTTGCACTGTTTGTTCTAAACACTTATGAGATGAAGAAACTAATAGCTCAGGCTGTGCAAACGATCTAAGGTATATATTTTTAATAATGTAGACATATCTATTGACACAATTACTATCTTTAAATGCTTTTATTACTGTGTGAAATGAAATGTGAGCAGGTCTCGTCTGTTTCTTAAATCTGTCATCTTTATGGGAGCCCATCCCAGCTCAGGATTGTCTTATTTTCATGAAGTAAATAAAATCATCTGTCAATTAAAACCAGAAGATCTCACGACAACAGAAAACGACTAAAGTGAAAGCAAGATTTCAATCTTGTTGGATGTCAACCAACAATGTGGATCTTATCGTCAAAAGCGCCAGATGTCATGGTATGGCTAAAGAAAATAAGCCACTTGGTACAAGTTGATGCCTTTTGTTGGTATGTGAGAAGATATGAGATAGTTGAAGCCCGACAGAATGACAAAGCACATTTTTATGAGCATTCTGATTTGCTTTGAGATATGTAAGAAACTTACTGCAATGTGAAAGCTTGAGACATTTAGCAAAGACCAATGGAAAAATCAGGAGAAAATGTTGAGAACCACATCACGGTTTTTCTTTATAAACTATTTTTTGACAATAAACATATTAAATGAGTATTTTTGTGCATTTATCTAAATGAGTACATAGTTATGTTTTATCATCACCAAAAATATGGATTAATGTCTTAGCTGGTTGTCTCTGACCTTTATTCATTAGTATGGCAGATGCTCGAACTTGGAGCCCTGCGGTGCCCCAATTGTTCATTTTAGTTAAGTTAATTTGTATAAAACATTTCAGCAACAAAGCCATTGAAAGTGCTTTACATGATAAAAACTACAAATATTACATTACAGTAGAAAAATAAAAAGAAGTAATGCAATGTTGTAATTCAGAGGACACTTTATGATGTTGCAGCTTTTATGAATAAAACTAAAAATTATTAAGTTATCGTTCCAGATCAGAGGAGCATAAAAACCCAAAGCTAAATTCTCTAGTTTTGGTTCCTGGGATGCAGACTAGAGTAGAAGCAGAAAAACTGAGCCATCTGAAAGTTTCATCCAACAGAACTTTAATGTTTTTTAGTGCTCAGTCACTGGGTGATTTATAAACTAACATAAGTATTTTAAAGTAATCAGTGCAACTACAGATAAACACATGGGTGAGTTTCTCTACAATTTGCATTGTTGATGTCAGTCCTTTAGCCCTTTAAATGTTCTCCAGGTGATAAAAGGCTGACTTTGTAACCATCTTTGTGTGGCTCTGAACTTTCAGGTCTGAGTCAATCACTAGTTTCTAAATAAATTAAGCCGTGTGCAGGTAATTCCTCTTTAGTAGATAATTGGTTCAAAAATTATTCAATCAAACTTAGCAATTTGGTTTGCTGCTGCTTTCTACTTTATTCTTGTTTTGTAAAAAAAATTGACTGCAATAAATGTGATTAATGTATCTCAAACTTGAGACTCGTTAAAAATTATTTAAGATTTTAAACATTATAGGTTTATAATACACACTAAGAATAATTAGTGGACAAAAGTTTGGTTTAAAACACAATTTTAACAAGTTTTGGGAGTGTTGACATCTCAAAACTCTCAAATAGTAGTTAGATATACAGCATATCTTTGCAAAAAACAATGCATTTATCAGATAGTAAGATGTTTTTTCTAGTTTGTGACGTTTATCATCTGATTCTAACCTTCTAAATCAAACTCAATGCCTTATTTTCCTTTAAAAAAATACCATACTGTTGGACTGTTTTCAGGCATCAGCACCACTGAAAACTTTGATTTAATAACATAAAATAATTGCACAACAGAGGACATTGTGCAACAATAGTTTCTGGGCTATTCTACCAAACAATGTGTTATTGTTTCAGGGCTTAACACAACCAATCTATCTTGGTTATAAAAGATAAAAGAAATATGTATTTGTATTTTTGTCATACTGGACCTGTAACTTAGCAGAGTAGGTGAAAAAATGCAAATGAGAAAAATAAGGCACGTTTTAAAAATGTTCAATGGTACCTTTTGATCGGTGTGTTTCGAAACCATTTCTGCTCTTGACACCTCCCTCCATTTTAAAGGTACTTACATAAACAATAGATTCATTGTAATCCTTTGTTGGAAGTCTAACATGTACATCAGGAAATGTGGGGGATGTTTAAACGTCTCCATTGTTTTCTTTTTTAATAGGCTTTCAGTACTTCAGCATTTAAGTTCCATCAACATGTCAAACCTGTTTTGGGTCATTCTCTGAATTCCGTGCATTTTGTGTCTCACAGGTTTATCTCAAAGATTTTCATAAAATGCAAACAACATTTTGAGAAAAATCAAGAAAAGGAAAAATCCATGTGTCTTGGTAATATAACATGCAAAAATATTTTTAAAAATTATGTTTTGAAAAATTTTATGGGTTGTTGAAGCTTAGAGGTCAGGCAAATGAGCATGTCCCCACTGACCAATGTCAATGTTTCACTGAATATAAAACAAACAAAAAACGTTATTTCTACTATTATAGACATTTTTTAGCATACTTTAACCTAAATAAAATAAATATGAGAAAAAAAACATGAATTATTTATAAAATAGCACTTTTTCATTATGTCCTCTCAACCTAGTGACATATATAATGGCTCATTATTTATAATGAGCCATTATGAATAATGGCTCATTATAAATAATGGCTCAGTCCAATTTTCTCAGCATCCCGGAAAAAATCACTTAGGTATTTTCCCACTCACACTGTCAAGAGATTTATGTATTAGGAACGTTTCTTGCCTATATTTCATTAGTTTTATCCAGATAGTCATCGTCAAGCTCTACCTTTCGAGACGTAAATGATATTTATTGTTGTTTGAGAAAAAGTAAAGAATAGTCTTTGAAAAATATATAAATTTCTTGTTTTCATCATACAAATAATAACGTTGGACTGTTCTTAAGCCAGCCAGAGTGTTCAACCCGTTACAGCCTGGTCAACTTTTACACTGGGTTCAACCCCGTTACTTAATACATTACCATTGTTAAATTTGGTCTTTGTTGATCTGTATGCAAAGTTTAAAGAATTAGTCAAAAATGTTAAAAAAAAAAAGCTTGATCTAATGTTTATTTAAAAGTGTATTTTCATAATTTATCAAAAGCACTTTTACATCAAGTTGCCATATTCTACTTATCAGTCTAATTATCATAATTCACAATCAAATAAATTACAATTATTAATTTTAATGGGGACAGGTGATCTCAAAGGAACTGAAAGAATGAGTTTAACTATACTCAAAAAGGAATCAAATTGTCCTGTACAGGGTTGAATTTAAAGCAACCTAAGTTACAAAGAAATTCGTAACAATGTTTGGGATTTCGTGCAGAAGGTGGGGAGACATATTTTCTTGTTGGTTCAAAGAGTTCTTCACTAGATGCAGTGACCAAAAACACATTTTTGTGATATATATTTAGTAACCTGAGACCTCAAAATGTACCAAATTCACCCTTTCATGTCGTAAGACCTTAGCAAGTATTTATTATGTTTGCCTTCACAAGATTAAAAGTGAATGATATTAAAAACTGGAAATTTGCATCCCATTCTAGTTGAGGATTGAAGATGTTCATTATTGAATTAATCAAAAGTTGACTGATCTTATCAATCGCATTACGACTCATTGATAAGTGGCCATTTTCACTACAGAAGAAAACTGATTCTGTCCTATTAAAATATACTATCAAAAGCTTCTCTGTAAACAGAAAAAAAGTTGATCTTTCTAATTTCTTGGTTTTATCGTGTCATGGACTCCTTAAGGACCTTGTGGAGTATTTACACTTGAAACAGAACCGCATTAAATGCATTTTAGATTCCACACCGGTCGCCATTTGAACCGTTTCTTACCCGCTAATAGATGTGCCATTCTCCGCCATCTTTGTTTCTGTGTCTGTATCAACGGCTGAAGGATGACCAGCGGCGCCCTCCGCCCTGAGCAATTTCATAGCAACCCATTTCTAAACCGTTGAGCTAAAACAATATGTTTGTATATACATATAAACTGACCTCGACAGATTCTTTAAGGGGCTTATGTGTCTGAACAGAACCGTGCTCATACACAGCATTCGTTTCTGTAAGAACCTTCTCGTTCGCCCTCCGCCATCTTTGTTTCTCTTCCGGCTGGCTGAAGGATGACAAGCAGCGCCCTCTGCTGGATTGCGGCAAAACGCTGAAACTAATTAATGTCCGTCGAAGCGGACATTAGTTAATCTATTTCAACTTTTTAATTTACCTACCCAAAATCAATGCGTCTAACAATTGTTTGCATTCCTAATTCTAGTTTCACAAAGTCACGCTTAACTAGTAAGAACTTTAAAACTAAGGAAAAACAAACGTAGGGTAAGATTTACTCGTGTTTTCTTTAAATTAATTTCTTTACAGTTATACTAAAAGGCTCGTTTATAAAGAAAACTGAATTGGACGTAGTCTTTAATGACCTTTTATTGTTTATATTTCGAAACAGAATCGCCCAAATGTTGGCTTGCTGAAGTATCAGCCGCGCCCCCTCCTGGACGGCGGCCAAACAACAATGAAAGAAATGGACCAATTTTTAATCCAAACAAACTATCAATCGACTTTTAATTCCAAGTCGATTGTTTCCTTAAATCCAGCAGTAATTAAAACAGATTCTTGGGCAAAATAAAGACTCAGATTTGATTTTAATGTTTTATTGCAATTTATTTCTTTACAGTTAAACTAAAAAGTGTGTTTATATATTTATATGTATAAAAAACTGACATGAACATACACAAGGTCAAAGAAACTCACTGAGAAGGAAAAAAAACACGCAGAAGCTAAAAACTAATCTGTGGCTGAGTTCCCGTCCTCGCTTTAAGAGATGTCCGTCGAGCTGTTGTCTCTGAGAACATTATTAGTCCATGTTCCCGTCTGCACACGAAGACGAGAAGAAGAAAAAACAAAACACAAGCCTACAGCTAGATATTCCTGTTACAGTAATACTGGACAACTAAATGGAAACTAAAAGGAAATCTTCAGGGACAACATGACAGTAAGGTGTGCGCACCATGCTCGTGTTTTTGTGCGCACGTGTGTTTCTATCTACAACGTTGAGTGTTAAAACAGGAGTCGGAGCTCCTTCTGGAAGCCGCGCCGAATCTCCGCCTACGAGTCGTCGTCGCCGTTCACGCTGTCGCCGTCATCTTCGTCTCCTTCCACGTGTTCGCCTTCCTCCTCTTCCTCTTCTTCGTCCTCCCTCTCCTGACTCTTGACCTGACGGATTTGTGAGCAGAACCGCAACGTTAAAACTACTAAAAAGATAAAAATCATAGCATACATACAACTAAAGTACAGCAAATCAGACCAAACTTTTTTTTGTTTTAGAACTCAGGATAAAGAAAAAACAAAACTGCTAAACAGCATAATAATAGTGATAATTTTATTCACATTCTGAAGTTTATATATGCGGTAATATTGCATTAGTTTTTATAAACGCACAAAAATTTATATTAGCAAAATAAAATGTAAAATCACAAGAAAAATGTGGTTTCAAAGACAAAAGCTACGATAACATAATCAGCTTGGTAATTTTTTAGATTTCATTGAAATCGACTTAAATAGACGTTTGAACA